TAAATTGGTACAGGAAAAGCTCCATGTAATGACGAGAGCATCATTATTCGAAACTGCTGATGTCCACAAAAGGCGTTATCTATCTGTCTCCTCACCTAATTAATGTCAAAGCCTTCTCTATGGTGAGCTGAGGAGGCGCAAACAGTCCAGAAATTGTGGTACACTATGGTACACTGGTAGGCCACACAATCATTGTCGGGAGAAATCATTTTTATCGTAAGCTGTGCCTCTAAATTATTCTAGCATTCAACTCTGAGCAGATTATGCAAACGTGGATCTTGTGCCTCATAGCTCTGAAGCAAAGTTACATCGAATGAAGATACAGAGTTGGTTCGGAAATTCCTCAAGACAATAACACTTTTGAATGTACATCGCAGCTTCACACGTTCTCGACCTTGTTTCTGAGCAGTAAGGGATAGGCTCCACATCATCTCATCGGCTCATGAGAACATTTACTTCCTTGGAGGAAAAATTTCGGCGCTATGTCGTTGCCTAAGCATTGATTAAGTATTCACATGATCTCTCTGAGCCAATGTTTTCCAAACGATGTCGTGCAAGCAAAATCTTCTTTACAGCGCTTAACCGAAATCTGTTAGTAAGTACACGTTTTGATAGCACTGCGGGGCGACTCTAATCTCTCGACCAGGTCCTCTCCTAAACAGAGATCACTGAATCTCTGCAGTTTTCTTTTCCTTTTCCTCTACCCCTACTCCACTCTACGGCCAACACATTAAAGGCACCGTTGACGATATTGATGGTTTCTGAGATTACTTTTTAAGATGAACAAGTGGTCTCTAAGAATAGCACAGGGTACGCTGTCGGGTCAAAAAAACCTAAATAGGGCGTAATAAGGGCCCAAAAACAGGGATAGCTGACGTACATACCAAAGGGGACGAGTTTTCACGGCGTCGTAGAGGTTGCAGAGGTTGCACCGCAACTCGCACGTTGCACGTGGGCAGCTTACTGTAGCCAGCTGTAAGCAATGGACATGCATTCAGAAAGCTCTTCCGAGTACCCTTTTCACGCAACTTTTGTAGTCATACTCTCATCTAACCCCTGATTTTGCTTTTTCTTTGAAACCTTAATTTTCACTGAATTTGCCGATTCTCGCGTTTTTTCGCCATTTTGCTTTGCTCTCGACTATTACTTCCATTAATCGGCGAAAGCTCGGTACCCCAAAATTACTCTTGAAATGTGCCCTTAAAATTCCTTGAAGACAAACTGAGGGTGAGACACGATCAGATCATCTAAATGAAAAAATTTGAGCCTTGTGCAGGAGACACGTAGCGATAAAGATCATGATTAAACTTTCTTTTTAAGATTCTTCCGTCGACAAGCCCAATGATAGGAACACTGAACGATCTTTAATTTTATGCTAAATCACCTTGCACAACTTATACACTTCAAAATTTGGAGTTATAAAATGTCTAATTTCGTTAGGTTTCTTGTGTTTTTTTCATTTTCTCCTTTTCTTGGAGTATTATGCAACACAAACTGTTTCGATCTTTGAACATTAAGTCACACATAATCATGTAATCGCCAGTTGTCTCTCAAAATTTATCCCAGAGCCCTTTTTTGTTGGAGCACCTTATTCGTGCACATTGCATACAGCTTCAATGAACAAATCCGCCCTAATTCCATCCGAAAAACTTATTATCAGTTATTAGAACACATATTAGAAAAGATCTTATGGTCACAAACAGGCATAATCCTAGTATCTGAAGTCCTTCATGGTAATGATTTCTGTCACATGAGAGTAATAGTGTTAAATTGAACCCTGTGAAGACGGGTGTCGTCAGAAATTTCACATTCGAATTTCTAAATATACTCCTTTCAAAAGAAGCAAGTGTGTTTGTACTGCATTACTGCCTGCTTTTTCGAGTCCTCCCTTGTCTTTTAGTAGAAGGAGTTTGCAAAAAGGAACAACTCGCGAAGAATAGGAGCGTTAAACTTTTTTCATTGAAGAAGCGATTGCTTTGAAAATTCATGTCATATTCGTTCTGATGACACAGTATCTTCCTTTGTTGTGGCAACGCCGCATCTTACTGACTATCGGGAAGCGTTGAAGGTGGAAAAGAAGTTTGAATGTATGTAAAAGCTGCTTATTATGTTGATGTCGGAGAGGAACCGCTATTTTTGGTCAGCTATATAGATATTTTTGGCTTTGCTGAGGCCCGACAACACGCGATCAGGATCATACGTAAATACATAGCATCAGTGGTGAGAATGACCACCTCATGAAGAACTGCAAGAGGGCAGTCAAGCAGTGGCATGATTACTTCAATAATGTCCCAGCAGCAGAAGTACCGCATCTCCCTGTACCTTCCGTTCTTGCGCTTTACCAGTGCACGGCTTGTGCCGAACATAACCGAGAAGGGAACAGAAACAGCAGTTTCTAAAGACGATCAATTCGACAAGGCAAATGGTCTTGTAAAGTTTGTAGCCATATTCTGGGAATCACGGTCCTGGAATCCGGTAGCATAATTGGATATGTTCTTTGATAGGGTTACCCACTGATATGAAGGTGCACCAGGGAGTTAGCAGCAGAGTATCACTATTTTCATTTGGAGGAGAAGAGTGGCACTGTTGCAGACTGCGCGAACTACAGTTCGATATGCTTATCCTCGCCCAGCGTTAAAAGGTTTGAAGATGACCTAGTCCAACTCTGACTAAACAACTTGGGTTCGTTACCGGTTGTAGCACTACGATGCAACACATGCCCATTTCTTTTCTTGGATAAGAAAAGATAGGAAAACGGAAAGCTTTTCGATTTCGAGGGAGCTTTCGATCGTGCCCCCGTGAAGTTATATCGTACGCTCTGTCTCAATTGATACGGTTATCAGCAACGCCTCCGGGAGTTCCGATCCCGCCGTCGTACGCAAAGGCTTTGGTTTCAAACACCATTAGCTGTTATCATCTTGAGCATAATTTGATGAAATCGTCGGGCTCCGCAAGCACTTACCCTGAGGACTTATTGCTCTCGCGCAAAGTCGACAATGTTTCCGAGCAACGGATGCAATAACAATTAAAAGTTCTGGGAAAGTTTGGGGTCGTACGACCATTCGCGACTTATGGTGTCCAGGCCTGTGACTGTACAACTTGTAGCAGGCCCTATGGTATTGGATACAAAAATGCTACGCCAGACAGTCGAGCCCATGCCTTTCGACCATATGCAATAGGAGCGCCTTTGGGGTAATCCCTATCTCTGGTTGCTCGAGGTAAACGCTTTGGACAGTGCGGCCATGTCCTATGCGCGGACAAAACAGTGTGTGTGAGATCCAGCTTCGACGCACAAAGATACCTGCCAAAGGGGCGTACAAAGCAGCGCATTTTTAAATCCCATATTGGAAACCAAAAAGTTGATCGACTTTGATTCCGGCCACACTTTATTTGGGTAAAGTAGAGCCAACTAATCACATAAGAAGAACCTCGCTTTCACGGGAACGAATCTTGAAGGGCAAGAAGTTACAAATTTTATGAAATCAATTGTTTTCCCAGTCATTCATAATCATTCGTAAGCCACCCTTGATACATTGAATTACAAATTTCAACTCAGACCATGGTCAGAGCCGGGCTAAATCATTACTTTGATAGCACAAAAATGTCTTGACTCTTGACGACCCGTGTTTGACCATTTCCCTGAATGATTTTTATTCAAGCAAAATCCATAGTTTTGCTCATGCTCTTCGGAGCCGATCACGGCGCATTGAAGCTGAAGAATTACCCTTACTGCAATGATGTCAAATGTTATTTCGGGCAAAAGTAATTTCAGATATCAAATCTCATCGAGGAATTCTTTCGCTATTATTCCTTAATCATCACATAAAGACTTTCAGGCCGTAAGTTAATCATATTTTTGCTTGACTGCTGTAAACAGATAGCTCAGAACTCACTTGAAGAGCTATATTATCAATCCGAAGAAATTAAAAGAATCAAGGGGTCAATGCTGCGGGCTCGAATTTCTTCTACAATGATTTAAGGGAGCCAACTCTTATATAAGTCAGTGTTTCTCACCTTCCATACATATGTTTCCTATTAACCGTGGGATGGAACTTGGTGGTTCATCAATCCGTAGTCTAAATCACACATTATAAGCAAGAAGACTATCAGCTACTTTCCTACACTGGCCCTGCGATGAATATAACGCCTCTCAGTTCATAAGAGAGGTGTGATTCGTAGAAGACAACTCGAACGACTGAACGTAGAATACTTTGGTATGAATAGAGGTGCGATCATGAGAGTACTACATACCTTGGACCTATCTATTGTCCTCAGCCTTGGCAACTCTGTAGAGGCTCCTATCATTTCTACAAATGATGGCGATAGTCCCGAATCGCACGATAAAGAGTGATTACAATTCAGTGCTTGGATTTATAAAAACTACAAAAAACTACTGGACATATGTATTCCATTCTCAGATATTCTTCAAGTTGAGGTCTACCTTGCAGCTTCTCTCTATGCCGCTACAGCTCTCGCACTCCTTTACTGTCTTGACGATCATGAGACTCAATCCCTGATAAACGAAAGTCCTGGACAATGAGCAACTGAGCTCAACACTGTAAACGAAAGTTTCAGTAATCATGGAGCCAATGAATGCCCTCAACGTCATGACCTCATCATTTTGTATTCGAAATGTAAAATTCCATGTACTCGCTCCTCAGGATATGTAATTGTGCACGACTGAATTCATTTTTGTGTCAGCTATCACTCACTCTTAAACCCTTCCTTTCTAGCCAGATTAGTAGGGAACGTAGGGAACAGTAATATCACTTGAGTAGGACTATGACTACTAGTCATATAAACTGCCTCAATCGATTTTACTTTCTGCTATCATTCACGTTAAATCCCCTGGAAACATCGTGCCAGAAAATGCAGTCGATCATAATTCATGACTCTCATAATTCCGCAGTTCAGTGCTTTTACTAGCATTTTCAAACGAAATGTAAATCGCAATTTAGCAGTGTACATTCTACGCTAAAGCGAGTAACCGCTCCGTAAGCATGGGTCGGGCTCAGACCCGGTCACGCCGAAGGAATGCTGATGCGATGACATGGAAGGAAAGGTGGACAGTTTTCAAACACAACCGGCGAAAACCAGGTATCTGGAGAAGTTCTCATCTGCGAAAGTTATGAAGACCTAGAGCTTTCAATTATGGAAGTGTTGTCCACTCCCAAATCATTTCGACTTCATCTCCCTTCCACCAAGAGTGGCATTCATGTGTTTATTTTATTTACTTATACAACCCCCTGAATACGCCACAACTAGTGGCAAATAAAGCACCTGCCGCCTGTACAAAATGAAGCCATTAGGAATGGAGAGGGGTCAAAATCAATGGCGTATACTTATTTCTAGAAGCTGTAATTGTAGAGAGTGCAACGAACATGCTTTTATAGTCAGTAACCGCACCACTTGGCCATGATGCTCTCATTCCGTGAGGCCTCATTAGCCTTAACCGTAATTTTTTTGCTCCTTAGTTATTTTACCACCTTGAATTGACAAGAATTTGTAATAGTAATGTGTTTTGACGATAAAGAGATTAGTCTCCAACTTCTCTCTTGCTTTAACCTAGGCATACTTGTTTATAATTAAAATAGTCTTGTGCTGTGCGTGGTTGCAAGGTATAAGAATTCATCAGTTCAACGGCCTAACGTTTCGCCGCTAACGTCTTCTTCAGGAACCCAAAGAGGCTCACTCGAGATGATTTACACAGTATCCAAGAAGCGCATTACCCGCTTGACCGAATCACAAATTTGTCGTCACATTCGTCTAGGAGAGTGATGCGCTTTTTGGATACTGTGCAAATTATCTCGAGTTGCTTTGGACCTTTGAAGGAGGCGATAGCGTCGAAATGTTAGGCCGTTGAATTGATAATTTCTTCCACCTAACAACCTAGCACGCCACAAAAATATTTTAATCATAAACGATAAGGAGATTCTTTGGATGACGCCATTAACTCCGCCAGTTTCGAGTGCTTCTGAATGTTTGAGCACGATTTAAAAGAGCGTACAGTACACGTCGTAATCATATCGACACATCATTCATTCAGCTCCTCCCCCCCCCCCCCCCCCCCCCCCGTTCCCCCTCCTTTCCCCTACCATTCACAACACAAATTGCTCATTGAAAAATTTGAGGTCATTGAAGCGGAGCCTGGTAGCGATCTATTTAACTTATTTTATATTTAGGATATTTGGAGTTGATAATCTACGGAGTACTCCTCAACCTTTTGGGAATAGGTCTTCTTTTCATAAAATCAATGCTGGACAAGAACGTCATCGAAGCCGCTATTCAGAAGCGATTTGAGGAAGTTGGTAGGACAAAAAGTTTTCGTTAAAAAAATTACTTTCATTCCGAACTTCTCTCAAATGTACGCGAGACTTTCTGAGCAAAATTCAACCCATTCCTGCTAATGATTGTTAAATGCGTAAAGCCTACTAATCAGAGATCCCCATGCATCGCGCTTTACAATCTCTTCAAGCACAAGCATGTTCATCAATCTTATTTGAAATCCAGCCTAGGAAAGCAAATAATCGTGTGAGCATAGGATTACGCTACACGGAGGTGACGTAGTGACAAGTGATGCACTATCTCACGCGGACGGTCACGGGTTTGAACCCTGAATCCATATCCGCCTAGGCCAACCGAGTCTTCCATTTTCTGAACGTTGGTTACTTGGCAACTGGATAAGACATTGGCTAGCCAGCCAAGTCATTGTATAGGCCACATACGCATTCAATACACCACTACGATTCTGAATGAAAGCTTAATGCGTGGGTGCATCTCTCAGACAGGATTGACCAACGTCTACAGATTTAATCCTTTATCCTTTTATTCCACCACATCAGACTTCTTTTCCTTCAACTTTTCTTGTGCTTCAGCCTTGGCATATAACTCAATTCTCCTTCTGAAACTCAGCAAGAATGTTCCCGGACCCACCTCTGAATTTGCACGGTTAAGGTCGCCATCTATGACAATAGCTTCTACCCACATTATCATCAGGATCGATAAAAAGAGTGACAGTTCCTAGAACTGCTTTGTTCATATTATGTTTCAAACTTTCTATGCCCAATTAATATTTCGCTGTGATTTATTATTACCAATCGTGTAGAATTCGAAAGGGCATCATGCTCGAAATAAGATGGAGTCTCATGCAAAACAGGCCCTTAGATGTCTGTCCGTAAAGGTAAGAAGTAGCAGGGAATCGAGGACAATCGAAGTGAAGCTTACCTGTGCAATTCCATCACTTGCAAAGCAACGTTTTTATAAAACCAGCTTTCGCTTCCTGCCTGTCTCTTCCGCGTACATACACCTAACACTGGGATCCCAGTTCCCATGTCGAAAAGCAAGTCGAAAAGCAATCTCCCCCTCAAGTGATTTCAAGCAGAGACGACGAATGCAAAAGAAAAGAACCATGGCTGATTTTGTTAGCTTCATCGAGCTGATTACTGTAGTTTGGGATGTATCAAATGATACAAATGCTTCTGATGTTACAATTTTTCAATTACTTTCGGAGCTTCCAGAACATCACCTTCTAACTGGCCGTGCTACGTTCATATCAGTAAGAATTATATATTTAGATTTGAGCCCACTTAAGCAGCATGACACTTTAGAATTATTGTGCACAAATGATAGCCGTTTTCTTCCTAACTGGAGAAAGAGCTCAACAGTTACAATTCAAATGAGTCATTCTGGTGCCCTTTCTCGTATGCACATTGATAGCCCTCGCAAACGAAAACGTCGCAGAAAATAATGCACCGACTTAGTATTATAACAATGTGATGTGCTTGTTATTTTAGCAATAATCGTTTCAATTAAGGCCTTGTAACGAACGACACGAAGGTGGACAACGAGCCACTTTTTGAGGCAAACTCACTCGTCACCGTTCTCATCACTATTATGGGAAGAATGGCGAATGTCGTCGGAACTATGAAAATGTACAAGGTGGGAAGTTTAGGTATTACACAACCAATACTCAAGACTGTCGCGAAGAGGGTTTTGCTGTATCACTGTTTAAACACTGCAATGTCCTGGTCAAGAGTTACATTTTGTTGAACTCACAATCAGATAACAGAATTCTTTCAAAGCGACCAACGAGTGCACATGTTGCGCTTAAAGTGCGAGACCCTCTCCAACTGTTATCAAAAACGAAAAAAGCGAATAATGGGTTTTCGGGATTTCTTCCCGTAGCTGACTGAATGTTGATTTGCAGCTCATCTATATAAAGAGAAGCTGCCCAGAAAAACTTGATGTGCAAGTTCACCCCGTTGAGTTCATCGGAAAGAGCTAAAACTGGTTGAATTCCTTCTTTAATCAAATTTTCGAGAATATTGAAGTGGATCCTTGAGATTCGGTATGCCTTGGAATGCGCTATGATTTGAACGGTAGATTAAATTGAATGTATCTAGGATCGACATATAACAACTCTAGTCAAATATGCTATACTACATAAACAAAATGCTCGGCCCTTCCCGAAGGGTTTCGACATGTTTTCGACTTTTAGTTTGTAGTGCTATGCTAGTCTCCATACGGTATATTTCCATCGATCAGTTGTGATGCCATTCCTTCCATCAAGTGCACTTATGTACAGCTTCTACAACTCAAAGAAGATGACTGCGAAAGCACCAGAACCTCAGTCAAATAAAGTGTCGTTGAAAACTCGGTTGTTCAGCACAGGAAGTTAAGAAGTTTCAACTGAAAGAGGAAGAGGTTTTTGAGAGTCGAACATGGGCACTATTCTCATCAGTCCCGTGCAGGTACGCTGTTTGAGGAATAAGATACTATTCCAATGGGTGACGACACAGCACTGTCTCTTGAGTTTGTCCAATTTTCTGCTTGTGACGAAATTAAGCATTACCTGAAGAAGCACCTGGAGTTGTGGAGTCATGCCGATGGGTTGGGTATAGGGTAAAATCAACAGGGAACATATCAGCACAGCTCACTTCGCCCCAGGGGTTCGAGAATAGCATCGTATTGGGCGGTGAAATGGTTAAAACATCTTATTTTGGTTTCACTTTTTCCGCTGATACGATGGGAGAAAAGAGTGAATAAAAAGTAGAAGTAAGTAAAAAGAGAAAGTAAAAAGAGGAATGCATCAATGCACCTGCGATGGTCGGAATTAACTCACCGTTGGCGGTTCATTCTACAAAGATTTGTATTTTGATTCAACAAAAGCTCAGAGGCCAACAAAAAGTTCTTGGGATAAGCAAGGCTTGAGGTGGACAGGACATGCTCTCAAATGATTTCGATTCGATTTCTGCTTTCTACAGCATTCGATTATTTCGATCAGCACAGCGCGCTAGGTTTTGGAAAAAGAACTTGTTATAGGCTGCTGAAGGAAGGATGATCAAAACCCCACAGTAGCCGGAGCGTGCGCTGAAAAGATAGGGCTGAGATCAAAATTTCACGCTTCTAAAATTTTGTCTTCTTCTTTTGAGAAACCTCAAGCATCACTGTTATTGCCTTTAAATTCTGTAGATGAACCGGATAACTCGTCTTTTTAATCTAAAATCAGTTCCTGTTAGCTGAAGCTGGAGCAATATGAAAAGGTTTTTTCGAGTTCTTATAGCTAACATGAGGTATTTTAGGGACTCGGAAAGTTTTTCTCGGACAGAAAACGAAAGAAATTCAGAAAAGCAACGGAGCGTGTTCAGAATGGAGAAACTGAAGTAGAGTTTACCGAGTTGTTTACAGAATGTTGCATGTTTTAGAGGTAGTTTCCATGAGAGAGAAGGTTCAAGAGGTCCTGTCTATTAATGAAACAATGGCTGTCAACTGTTTAATAAGGAGGGCATAAAATGAACTGCCATTGCCGAACGAGCTTTCCTTCCCTTAATCTGGGAAGGGTCGGAAACCGGACTCGATGAGCCCGAAAAGCCTGCCGGTAATTCAGCATGTCTTCTTGACACAATGTTGAAAACGCAACCCTTTCAATTATTTCAGTCGTCAAATGACTGGTTATGGCTAACTATTTGTTGAGGTTACTGAAAATCATTCGAGCGGTCTAAAGCCATTTTTTGCCACCTTTAGTAATTCTAGAAAAGAAAGTAGTATGCAGAAATAAATACTCTGCACAAAGAGTTTTTCATGTATCCAACCAGTGGCTCCACTAGTTGAACTGCTGGTTTTGTCGGTGTCAGCTTATTCGAGAGGATAAAAAGCTCATTAGCACGCAGGCTGACCTTGAAAAGGCACTGCTACTTCGGCGAAATCAATCGCTCTTCCTATCTCACCATCAGAATAAAGATGAAGGCCCTGTTTCTAAAATATTCATATGACTTTCTCTCTTCATCATGGAAACTGCCAACATGTCGTGCTCAAGCAGTGAAATGCTGATTGATGAATGTGGAAGATTACGTGTATGAAGTATAAAGTTGTCCTTTTACTAATTCGTTAAAACAACTGATGTGATAAAACATAATAAATTTTGAAAAGGATTATTCACGTGTGCTGATCAGCGAGAGCACCGATTAGTAGGAAGCTAATCGACGATATGTAAGGGTTGTAAAACTCGCTTAGCCGACGTACACATCCAAGGCAGATCTTGAGCGCTGTAAAAGACACAGAGGTTTCATCGTTCGCACCTATACCCACACCATGCACGCAAGCAGCTTATTGTAGCCAGCTGTATGCAATGGCGCGCACATTTGAATAGCTAGTCCAAATACACCTTCCATCAATTTCTGTCATCGCATTCTCGTTTCGCCACTTTTGCATTATTCTAAACTATCACTTCCATCACTGGCTGCTTTCATAGTACGCCGGCCGGCCGGCGCGCCTGCCAACTGTAGCCCAAACCTACGCTGTCGCGGAAAATTTGTCAAGTGCTTGGACGTTTGTCATGAACGTTGTCAACTATTATATATAGCTTGTGAAACAAGCAATTCGTTGCGGGACCCACGCCATCATCTCGACTTCAGTTTCATTTTCGTGCTACTTATGAGCTGCTGTTGGAAGAAATGATGTTAAGAGTGTCCGCACCTATGGGAGATCCGAAACTAAGGTAAGTGAGGACAATATAAGTTGTTTGAAAGATAAGCTGTCGTTTTGTCAAGGAATATTGGCTTTCTCACCGATAGAAATCTTCTTCGGTACTATTCTACTATTACACCCCCAAAAACTCAAAATTTTTATTTTCAATGAAACTTCGCCGATAGGGGTAATCCGATGCCCTGATAACGAATATG